CTGAGCCTCTGGCCTGTACCGCAGTTCTGTATGAACAAATAAATAAATCTTTAAAAAAAAAAAAAACATATGCTTTCTAACCCAGCAACCCAACTCCTGCATTCTACACCAAAGAAATAATGATATACGGAAAACAAAATAACAAAATAAAATAAAAATAAGAGGAAAGACCCTGCAGATGTCTATTGCTTCATTACCCATAGCAGCGACACTTGGAAACAATTCCTGCCTCCCATGGTTTGCCTGCGTCAGCAGTAGAACGCAGGCTTTTAGGAAAAGTTATTAGAACTGCAACTTGGAAAGGTTTCAACAGAGTTGTCCCAGGAGAAGAAATAAGGACGCAGAACATTATGTAGGATTCAATTTGTAAAACCTGTGTGTGTGGCTATATTTGTATATTGTATATGGAAATGACTCTATGAGGGTAGAGAAAAACAGAGTGATTCTTGACCACTAACATAAGAGGGAAGGACAAAAGGATGTGGTGGAGAAAAAAGAGGCCAGGAAAACGCCAGCTTGGCAAAGGTGAAAATGCCAGCTTGACAAGGGTGAAAACTCGCAAGGCAGTGAGCAGTTTTCAAGCCACTATTAGGGTGAAGGTTTGAGGATGGTAGACAAGAAGGTAAAAAGAAATGTACGTTCTTCTTGAGGAATCAGAAATGTAAAAAATAACCAATTTGAAGTAGGTGAAATCATACTTTCTGACCATTTTCAAAGCCACTGATCTAAACCCACGACCTGCCTTCTCTGGGAGGCAGGTAGGCTGCAGAGAACAAACGCAGCTAGATCTCTTGGTGGGTGAGGTGCTTACGTGTCACTCAGGAGCCAGCAGCCAGAAGGAATCAGCTGAAGGAGCTGCTAAAGGAAAAGGGAAGAGAATGGAGAACCAGGGTCCTGAGGGGCGCAGGGTAAGTGCGGAAGGAGGGAACAGAGGACCGTGAAGCCGGTGGCCCTGGACCTCCCAATCTGCTCCGTCCACAGCGAGAGAGAAAGGAAACTCCGCACAGAAAGCTGGTCTGAAAAAACACAAAAATGACAAGCAGCACACACTTGCCCTGACCGCTGGCCACACCTCAGAGTCAGCGCGAGTGGACTCCGCCCCGCACACAGCCGTCGCTCAGGCTTCCAGAATCAGCTGCAGGCGTCTCAGTGCTCCCCTCCCTGCTGGCCACCACCACCTCCGTGCAGCCCTCCGGGCGGCCAGGCAGAGCCACCTCCCAGAAGCCACCCCTCTCCACCCCTCCCCTGGCATCCCGACAGCTCTCCTCCTGAAATGGGGCTCTGACTCCGCCATTACCTTTGTTACCTACTTCCCCACCCACCACTATGAGCAGGCTGTGCTTGGTCTGGTTTTAGGAGGAACATAGATCAGCATGTTTCGGTTGCTCATTTCAAAGTGTCAAGAAAAAGATCTCCAGCCCATCTCCCTGATGGTCGTACGTAGGACAGAGTACTCAGGGCCTCGAAATGCCACCTCAAGCCAATCTCTGGCTCAGACGCAAGACAGATGGCAAAAAGTATGAAGGAAAAGTGTATAAAGATAGCCCTCGCAGAGGAAATAACGCCCTAACGGAGAGACTTCAAACACTGGCCATGGCAGCAAAGAAGCAGCGACAAACTTTCCAGCCAATCTCCCAACATACAGGGGACCCTCCCTGATGTGCCCCCCCCACGCCCACCACATCCCTAGCCTTTGCCATTCCCGCTGCCATTCCCGCTGCCCCCACCTCGCCCACCCAACCACTGCAGGCCCTCCTCACCCCCACACCTACACCACGTGATGACTGCCACAGGTCATTGTCACACACCGTGACCCTTGAGGACAGCAGTGGCCTGGTGCGGCTGGCACCCCAGGGTGACACAGCAACCCACACCCAGATATGCATTCTGTGGGGGACTGATCACCCAGCCTTTGGATCCCAGATCAGCCGAAACACTAGGACCTCCAGTCATAGAAAGAAAATGTATTTCGTCAGCAAGCTGGTATTGGGCGTGCTGGCCCTCACACAACCTCAGGACTGGGCATCATTACTGTCACAGCATTTTTCCAGACGGGGCAGCAGAGACCCAGGGAAGCTGAGGCCAAAGCACACAGCTGGCAACTGGTGAACTGTGGAGGGCTCGGAGGTGCATGTGTCTGACGCCAGAGCCAACACGCCACGCCCTGGCCACTGGCCGCCGGCCGCCGTCATGAAGGCGATGACGACAGCGCTTCTCGACGGTCCCGTGGACCAAAGCTGTTCTCACCAGCCACTGACAAATACGACATTAAAATTCGGTCTGAGGCCGCAGGCCAACTGAGGCACGACCCCTGAGAACTCACTGCCACGCCTGAGGTGCCACCACCACCTAGCGCGGGACGTTCGACACCAGGATTCTAACTCCGAGCCCCAAACCCACCTCACCCTGCTGCCCCCCAACTCGGGTTGTTATTTCTAAGTCTGGGGATGCTGGTCTTTTCCCAGCAGCCAGAGAGGCCAGTGAAGAGCTTCCTTTCTGCAGATGCTCTCACGCAGAGAGCAGGACAAGAAGGAACAGGCGCCGTCTGGAGCACGGGGCTCTGGGAGACGAGGGGCCTGGTGGCCGCCAAGGCTGGGAGACCTGAGGGGACTGCAGAACACCCTGGCCGAAGCTGGAGTCAGGGTGAGGGAGAGCTGCGCAGCCGCCTCTTCAGATCTGGCCAGTTTCTTTTTCATTAGCTCTCTGCTTTTCCCTCTTGAGGTTAAACGTCCCTACAGGAGACGGATGACGTGGTTTTCCTGCATGAACGTGCCACCACCCTTGGCCAAACACATTTCAAAGTAAGACGAAGGCTTTGATGCTGAGAAGGAGCCGGCTAAGGGAATTGCACATCTCCTCTGCAATGGCAATAGAGAGAACAGACTTCGGTGCCCGAGAAACCAGAATCCAACTCCCACCTCTGCCTCTCTCAGCTTCTCCTCCTGAGGCCACCCCAAAGACTGAGAGCCAACGTGAACAAGGAGGACGGGAGCCGGGAGACGCACCGTCACCACGGTGAGTGGCAGCGAGCAACTCTCTGCCACAAACACCGCAGTCAGGAAGGAATCAATTTCTCGAACGAATTCCACCATGAAGTAGAAGATGCAGCTACTAAAAGTTACAGCAGGAAACTGTATTGTATGAGGCCATGATATCTAGTTTTTGGAGATGGATTCTGTCAGGAAATGACTGCTATGGGGTAGGGAGGAGGAAGCGGCCCAGAGTGCGTGCGCACACAACTCAGTAGACCCAGGCGGGAAGCAGATGTGCACTGTGAATTAACAAGCCTCCAGGTGATTCTGAGGCAGGTGGACCTTTGAAGTGACTCACCTGTGCTGACCGGAGCCAGGCCCGCACAGGCCCTCAGGAAGAGCTGAGGCGCTCGGTCTACTGACGTACCACGGCAAACACACCCTGGGAACATGTGCGATGGGCACGTGATCGTGCAAACTCGGAGAGGCAGAGAACCCGGAGAGGCAAAGAGCTGGAGCAGCCACCCGCTGGCCTCGCAGCTCGCCAGCCTTGTGCTGGCACTGGCATGTCCACACTTGACTGTGGTGGGGAGCGGTGCCCATGCTCGTCAGAGCTGCTTCTAGGCGCTGGCGACCCCTCGCGACCGGGACCGCAAGGACATCAGCGAAGAGCTGGTGTCACAGAGATGGGAGATGGAGATGAGCTAAAGCAGCCAGCGCGGCAGACAGCCGATGAGCTGGCCCTTACCGTGTTACTGCGGAGAGAGGACCAGCAAAGGGCAGAGCGTCAGGGAGGGCGCAACGTCTGTCAGCTTCCAACAGCCCAGGGCCTGGTAGAAGGTTCTCCCCCAGCACTGCTCTCAGGCTGGGAAAGGGTCACAGAAGAACGAGCGAGCGGAGAAGAGGGAGGCAGAGAAGAGGGCGGTGGGGAGGATGTGGGGGGGGAGATGCTAGCGTCCATCCGGGGCAAGAAGACTCCGGCCCGCCAGTTCCCTTCCTTCCTTCCATGAGTTCCTCCTGCCACACATGCTGCAGAGATGAATCAGCTGGGAGTGACTCCGCCACCATCTCCAGCGGTGCCTGTGAGCTCTCACCTTGGCCAAAACCTTCCCAGCGCCTGCCGGCCGAGGTTACATAAGCTATGCGGAGCCTTTCCGAGGCCTAGGTCAGTGGCAATTATTTTTAAGGATGAAAAAACATATGATCACAGTAAAACATACGAAGGCGCTCAGAGTTGGAGAGCCCCCACACTGCTGTTGTCTGGAGGTGCTGGGGCCCCCCCGTCCACGTGGCTTTTGGCTCCACACTTCACTCTGGAGCTCTCCTCCCGCAGCCAGGAAATTTTTTTGTCTGTTTGTTCTACTGCTATTGCAAGTTCCAATTCTGAAACTGCTGCCACAGCATTTTTTCATTTAAAACAAATTCCGTAGGGACATCTTTTTTTTTAAGATTTATTTATTTATTTATGCATACAGAGCTGAGGTACAGGCCAGAGGTGCAGGGGCGGTGAGAGGATTCATCAGAGACAGAGCGGGGAGCAGAACAGGAAGATCGATGAAGCACACTGCTGAGGGGAGCAGCGGGCGGTCAGGAGAGGTCTGCCGCGCCCTGTGGGTCACCTCTGGGCCACGGATCGAACCAGCACAGAAGCAGCTGCAGTGAGCTTGCAGTGCTGAGTCCTAACCTGTTGCGTCGCCAGGGAGGCCAGGAACAGCACTTTTAAAGGTGACGTGCCACCTCATGCCACGAACACACACTGTCCCCCAAGCGGTGGGCATTTTACATCACTGAGTTTTCACTATCGTAGTCCCCTGAAATGTTATGTATGTTATACAGAAGGTATTTCAGGTAATTCCTCAGAACAGAAGCCCAGAAGGAGAATTAGGAGAAACTGGAAACACTCAGACAGGTCCCAGGTGGAGGGGCCACCAGGCACCCATAATCCTGCGCGAGGCAGAGACAACACAGGTCGTTGCTCCCTGCCCGTCTGCTCTCCACAGTGAGCCGTCTGAGCAGTGCCAGGCTTACCTGCTGTCGGAGTCTGAGGCGATCTCCTTTCTCCCTCCAAAGCGAATCTGACACTGCGTGGAAAAAGAAGCAGAGATCAGCTGGAGGATGGGGACCCCCCCACCACTCAATAGCCCATGAGGCTGCAGGCTCAGAGGGGACACAGCCCCCCGGCTGCCCCCGGGGGAGTCAGCCCAAGACCGAAGGGATAGACACCCAGCCTCCCAGCCACTGACAGGAAGCCCTTGTCTCCTCTTCTACAGAAGTGAGCCTGTGGGTAAACAATGCTAAGAGGAAAACAGAAAGCACACCGCCTTCTGCAAATTATCTAGAAGCGCCTTCTGCCAGCAGCTGAGTGTCTCCAACACTGTGCTCTTAAAAAGCAATATTACATCTTCCACAAATCTGTGATGATGGGCCCCTCTGACAGAACCCCAAAGTTGTCGGGACAGGCTACAAGTTAGGTCAGCATAAATGGGCCTTAAACAAGCGTGCGGGCTGTGTCGAGTGACCAGCGGGCCACGGGGAGGGGAGCGCCACGCAGACAACGGGGCACGGAGCATTTTAACCACTGTGAGTTACACGGTGCGAGTCACAAGACTGGACACCCGACAGCGCGGTCCACTGCCCTCTTTTAAGGGCACAGAATCTCCACCGTGGGCAGCAGTCTGCAAGCTCACTGCATTCGTTGCGTTGACACAGACAGAAGAATGTAGTGCCCCAAATGATACATCTGTCAAGACGCAGGGCAGCGCACTCTTAAAATGGCTTTATTGATTGCACGCGGCGTATACCTGCATAAAGCTGGTCTTCGTAACGGTGCATATAAGCTTTCATACACACACCCGTAACAACAACAAACAACACAGCAGCAGGTGTGCGCAGAGTTCCACTTATCTCTATTTAAACTGCTACATTCAAAGTAGTTTGCCCTGCCTCCTCAGCTTACATTTTCCATTTCTGGGGCAAAGACCAAAGAAACTCATAATGTGGATTCCAGATTTTCTATGCACCAGGCGCTGGCCAAGCTCCGCACCTGCTTTAACAGACCAGTTTCCCCCACTGTGGAGATGAGTGAGCAGATTACAGGGAAGAGGAGCCCGCACGAGGCAGGTGAGGTCCTCCGGCTCCCACAGGGTGCGGACATGAGGCCAGGGTGCCTCGGGGCTTGGGCAGCTCTTAAACCCTCTGGCACGCAGCACCCACTTCTATGGCCATATCTCCCAGTACTGTGACTGCCATGGTCAGGCCTGTCCAAATGTGGGCGGCTAGAATTCCCAGGCGCGCCCCGCTCTGCCCGTGACTGGGTCTTCTGACCTTTGGTTTCTCCGTCTGTACCGTGGAACTGCCTGGCCGGGTGGGGGAGGGCTCGTGGAGCGCACGCTGCCGAGGCCCAGCACACCTCACTGCGTGCAGGACAGAACGCTAACTAGTGCCGCCTCATGTCAAAGCCCCTCCCATGCCGGGCCAGCGGCGGCACAGGGCTCCTGGAGGATCCCGATCGCGTGCTGTCAGCAGACGCGCCTCCTCGGCCCGGTCTCACTCCTCCCGCCTCTGCTCCGGGCTCACGTGGCCCCAGCTCCAAGCCACCACCTTGGCCCTGGAAGAGGTTCCAAGCGGAGGCTTGGAAACAAGACTTTGGAAGTCAGGTCAAAGGGGCCTCCCCAGAGCCTGGGTCCCTCCTGCCCTGGCTCTGCCACCTCCTTCTCGGTCCCTTGCTAGGGGGGCGACCAGCCTCACCGTCCCCAGACAGTGGTGGGAGAGTGTCTACGGGGCTGAAGCACTGCTGCTGGCTGTCACCGACCCCAAAGGCACATGCGAGCTCTGCTCCCACCTGTTTCACTGCATCCAGCAGCCGCTCCAGCAGGCACTGTCTTTTCAGGTCATTGTTCTGTGATCCTAAAATGCAACGAAGCTCAATTAGTTCTCCCTGACATGAGCCTTCTGTTGGAACTTCTGCCGTGTGGCATCGGGCATCTCAACCAGCACCGGGCATCTCTTTAATGAATCAGGAACCAGAGGCCCTCCCTGGTGGCGCAATGGGTTAGAGCGCAGCACTATGAAGCTATGGGCAGCTCCTGCAGGACGGAGTTCAATCCCTGGCCAGGGAGGTGACCCACAGGGCGCAGCACACCTCAGCAGGGTGCTTCAGTCCATCTGCCAGTTCTGCTCCCCACTCTGTCTCTGGTCAAGCCTCTCACCACCCTGCACCTCTGGCCTGTACCCCAGTTCTTGTGTGCATAAATAGGCCTATTTTTTTTTAATGAATCAGTAACAACACTGGATGCCAAGGATCCCCTTCACTACAATGAACCTTGACCACTCGCCTGCCCTCGCCTCCCAGGAAAGCAGCTAACCATCGCCCGGTCTAGAGAGCGTGTCCAGAAGGGCCGCGTCCAGCGTGTCGAGCTCTGCGGTAGGAGCTGCCCTGTGCATCCGGGAGACTTAGCAGCCCACAGCCCCCAACCCGCTAAATGCCAGCAGCACAGGGACCAACGCTGTGGCGACAAAGGCGCCCGGAAAGTGCCCACATCAGAGCTGGGGGCTAACTCGGCAGGGAAGCATCCCAGGCAGGGGCGCGGCTCGCTGCTCACCACCAGCTCCAGCATCCTGTCCCCGGCCAGCTGGCGGCAGGGAGCCCCAGCTGTCAGGGAAGCTGCCTTCCTCCATCCGTCCTTCCTGCCTCCACCACAAACACACCGAGTAGAGGCCGAGTGGTGCCCTGTGACCAAGCGCAGCAAGCCAGGGCCAGGCCGCGGGATAGACGCCAGGCCTCAGGGCCTTCTGCTGCTGGGCCTGCACGAGAGAGCACCTCCCTCCCCACAGTGGGGCCCCAGGCTCAGCCACCACCCTGCGAGGGGCTTCTCCAGGCAACAGAAAACACTCCCGTCCACTCAAGCCTACAGCCCACGACGCCCATTAGCAGCGTCTGGGGCAACATCACTGGCCCCAGGCAGACAGTCCTCGGAAGGAGTGCCGGGCACACGCGTGGTCAGCGACCGGAGACACAGACACAGGGCAGTCGTTTCAGAGCAGGCGCGCCCTCGTCACGACACGGGCGCCCCACACTGCAAGCCTTGCGTCACACCAGGCCCCATCTAGCTCTCAGCACCTCACAAGGGCTGCCCCCAGGGAGCACCCGCAGACAGTCAGGGACCCACTGCCCGAGTCCCCTCAGGGCCAGAGGGAAGCAGCCGCCGCAGTTCCCCTGCTCTGCCGCATCATGGCGGCCTTACCGTCCCCCACCAGCGACAGGACCAGTCTCAGGTCCCCAAACCAGGGCGGGGAAGCTGAACCCCGAGAGGACAAGCAGCCGCGTGCCCCGAGCCCTCAGCACTGCAGGCCTCCGCGTGCTGGGTGCGGGCAGCGTGCGGGACAGGGCTAAAGGCACGACCACCTGCTGCGGGAGCAAGACGCGGCCAGGTGGCACCAAGAGCGAAGCAGAGGACGCGGGCGGCTGACCAGGAAGACGGCGAACGGTGCAGCGGAAGGAGGGGGCTGGGGGGCCGGGTCGCCAGCCCCCAGGCCGGCACACACCTGAGTCCTTTATAGAGGGGAGGCGCAGCCTGGGAGCTGGGCGGCCAGCTAGCAGCGGGCAGCGGCCGGAGCACGAGCACACCTGGCCCCCGGGGCCTCCAGGACCTGAGGGAGGGAGAGCAGCGGGGGGCGAGGGGGTCACACAGACCTCGGGGGCCAGAGGGAGGGCAGGCGCTGCTCTCATCTGGGCCCCACTTGCCGGGACTGGGGCCCTGCTCCAGCTGGACGGACACCACGGACACCCGGTATGCGGCCGCCTTCCCGAGGGCCGTCGCTGCTCCTTTTTGCTGGAAGAGGTTTCTAGAAAGGACAGTCTGCCCGTCGTTCCCACCAGACAAAGGCCAAGCTGAGGCAAAGAGGATGGCTGAGGGCCTGCCTGCCTGAGGTCCTCACCGGCTTCCCCAGCCTGCGTCTAGCACAGGGGTCAGCTTCTGCTCGTCTCTCTCCGGCCCAGAACGGGGACGTCAGGCTGCTGTCTGCCTTTTACCAAGGCCTGCACCCCCCGCCAATGCTATTTTTTCTGATCAGAGAAGTAATTCATGTGAAAAAACAATAAAAAGTCAGTAAGGTCAGAAAAAGGCCCTCGCTGTTGGTGCAACGGGTTAGGATGCAGCACTGCAAACTGGCCACAGCCGCTTCAGCATGAGTTCGATCCCCGCCCCGGAGGTGACCCACAAGGCGGGCAGACCTCTCCTGACCCGCCCACTGCTCCCCTCAGCAGTGCGCTTCATTCATCTGCCTGTTCTGTTCTGCACTCTGTCTCAGGTGAATCCTCTCACCACCCCTGCACCTCTGGCCTGTACCCCAGTTCTGTGTGCATAAATAAATAAATCTAAAAAAAAAAAAAAGTCAGGAAAAATGCATGCAGAAAATTTTACATTTCCATCAACGCACTTCTGCTCCTCTGGTGCAATAATCCTCAAGCTTCTCTGCGCACACGAGTCTCCTGGGGTCTTGTTAGAGACCAGCAGGTCTGGGGGGATGGGGGGGGCCTGCGATGCTGTCTTTGACACAGGTGATGCCAAGATCTGGCTCCCCTGACCTGAATGGCAAGCACCTGGCACCCACCCTTCCCGATAGATGCAAGGCCCGAAAACTGTGCCTCGTCTTGCTCTGCTGCTTTGTCTAGATGCAGTCAGTGCCTCACCTTGCAAAGCCCCTCCTCAGGGTGGGGAAAAGGCCTCTTCTCCACACAGAAACAACCTGAGATTGTGCAGGCTCAGCCACCATACACAAGGTTGCGATCACGCTACAGTGAGAAGTGTGCTGGAGCCCCCCCGCCCCCGCCACGGTGAGCGCCTGTGGGCACCCCAGCCCTGAGCCAGCATGTAGGGAAGGGGCCTCCTTGCAGGGTGGAGGCGCTCAGGTGGCCTCGGGAGCACTGTGAACTATGACACAGAGAAGCATGCTGGAGGGGACACTGGGTAGGAAGTCACAAGTATGAGTCCTCCTGCTGGCCAGGCTGCAGGCCGTGACAGACCGTCACTTCCCTTCTGGGGCCTGTTCTCTGCATGAGCGCCCACCCGGGTCTGCAGTCGAGGCAGAGGGCTCTGTGGAGACAGGCAGGGGGAGCCGTCGACCCGCCATCTCGTTCTTCCCTTCACCCAGTGACAGCAACTAAGGAATGCCCCGTCTCAAAGACAGCAGCCACCAAGGGGGAGGAGAGGCCCTGTCCACCTGCTGGACCTGCCCTGAGGGGGGGTTTTAACCAGTAAAGGACAAGGCTCCACCCTCCAGGGCTGCGAGGCTCAGAGAGGACAAGGCCTCACCCTGGCTCGCCCCACAGAAGAGCTGGCTCAGCCCTGCCGTCTGCTGACTGCTCACTCACACCCTCACCAGCCCGCAGGGACAACTGCCGCCGCGGCGCGGGAGGACTGCTGGGTGAAGCCCCAGCTTCCCACTTCCTTCCTTCTCCGGCACAGCCCTCGCGCACGCCATCGACTAGGGGAACAAGCCAAAGCGACCACCATCAAAACAGAAACTAAAGGCACTTCAGGGAATGCCCCCCCGGACACCCCCAAGGGGAGGGGTGTGCCAGTGTGGGGTCTCTGGCCCCGAAATCACATGTGCAAGTGCAGCTCAGCGACCTGGCCCCGGGTGCCCCGTCTCTGTCTTTGAGGTTCTAAAACCTTAGGACTCTACATTCATTTCTGTAAATCTCAGGCTTCAGGGGCCTCCTGGCAGGCAGGGTGGAGGTTAAGAATGGGAGGGCCTGCAGGTGAGGAGGTAGGACGCAGACACCCAGAATACCCCCAGCATTGGGGCATTAACAAGAAAAGAAGGGGCCAGCCTGACTCCGCTAGCCCAGGTATGCGATAAGCTCCTCGCCTCGCTGCCCCCCAAGTCTAACAAAGGGGCGAGTGTGTAGCTGCCCACAGAGCAGAGCCTAGTAGCTGCCAAGACTGTACGCTGGCCACTGTTACTGTGCTGACCACGCTCTACCCCGGGGACATCAAGACCTCTGGCTCCAAGAGGGATTTCCGCCAGGCTACCTTCTGTCCAGAGCGTTTTAAAGGCAACCAATGCAGTCTTGGGTGTCACCACCCTTGGGGGTAAAAACAAGGGTCCCCCAGTATGTGGGGGATGTCACAGGCACTCTGTGTCTGTTCCCTGCTTGATCCTTGCAGTAAGAAGCCTTGGAGGTCAACCCAGAGGAGGTGAGGTCACACCATCAAGGCCACGCACAAGGGAGCCGGGTATGCCCCCCACCTCCCCACACAGGGGTCTCCCTGACTCAGACGAGGTCTGCCCACACTGCCATCCTGCTGAGGGCCAGGACCTACTGAAAAGGTAGAACTTGAGCTGTGTTTTTAAAAGCCAGGAAGGACTAGAACAGGTGAATCCACACAGATAGAACACAACTATTTCGTAGACACAGGGATTCCCTTTGAGGTGAAGGAAATGTTCGATCACTAGATAAGATGGCAGTTGCAAGGTGGTGGCCAACGTACTAAATGCCACTGACTTGTTCACTTTAAAATGCTCACTTGCTTTTTATAACTGTTAAATATGTCATGCATAATTGTTCACTGCTTTGATCATTATCAAAAGCATAAGTACTTTTATTCTGTTTGAACTCTGCCTCACTAAAATAAAGTTTCATGGGAAAGACTGCAGCAGGCAGCTAAGAAGCATAACATCCCGAACCAAAGGGACTCCTGTGGTCAGCCCAAAAGGTGGGACAAGTGAGTCCAGAGAGCACCCTGTAGCCACCCACACTCTCTGCCCTTTCGTCTTTCTGCTGATTCTGCCGGGACAGCCTGTCCCACGCTGGGAGGTCCCTGACTTCTGCATCAGCCAGGGCCCGAGCAGGAAACACGTGCACTCAAGTCAGCAGTGTTCAGGGAGGCCACGTGGG